GAGAAAAAAAAAATATATATATATATATATATATATATAAATGGGAGAGAGAATCTAGTTAATATGAATTATAAATGATATATTAATAAATTGTATAATTATTTTTATACGAAATCAAAAATATTTTTTACATCTCTTAATACAAATTATTAAAAAAAATCCTAAATCGTAAAAGAAAAAATGATATGAAAAAAATACAATAAGTCATTAGTCTAAATAATATTAAATTAAATTTAAGTAAAGTTTTGGTTTGAATCCTATAAGTGAAAAATATGTGATTGAAAAAATAACTTTACTAAAGATGGTCAGTGAGAGTTTTTAACAGAAATCAATCATTAATATCAGTAATATTTCATATAAATAATATAATTATAAAGAAAAAAATAGATGGGAAGAGAATAATTATAATGATAAGATATAGTTCTCATCTTTACATCAGTAATATTAATCCCATTCACACGGAAATGCTTGCTCAATTCAATTGACATTTAACCAACGGTTTGAGAACGAAAATACGAGAATAAAACAAACACCTATGCAAAAATTAAACCAAAATCGGTCTACTTATTATTGTGCGCTGAATGATCTTTCTCACGAGGAACAATATGTATGGGACACACCAATTTCTGCAACAAATTTCTACAACAAAAAAGTACCATCGAAGTTTGGAACTAATAATGCTATGTCTTCACCACTGCATATATCATCTATATATGTATCTTGTACGAGGAATGGTTCAGTCCAAAAATCGCCGCTGAATTCTTCGTATGAGGCCAATGGAGGAACACTATCTTCTTTTGCTAAGAAGTTGTCTATGGTTGATAGTGCAACATTAGAGGTGAGGGAATAGTTGTCTTCTGATGATTTTTCCGTGGACATAGCCAATGAGCTTTCTAAAATATGAGGAAAGCCATTATTACCAACATCTTCACCATGGCATTCAGATTTTTCAGATTGATGAGTCTCATTTAAATTTCCTTCAAGACTATCACCGGGCATAGATATTGTGATTTCTTTGTTCTTTTTCAGGTGGCTATGCCAATAGTTCTTTACCTCATTGTCCGTTCTTCCAGGCAGTTTTTCAGCAATCAAGGACCATCTATAAAGTCAGAGACACTAAAATTTCAGATACTATATGACATTGATATTTAGTGGGAAAGAAATTAAAAGTGCATATCAAACTCTATATATATTACTTATCTCAAAGATGACATAAATAAAGAGTATTTTTTCATAATTTTTTTTTACATAAACATTTCTAAACTTATATCTAAATATACTCATAATTAATCAATGACTAATGACTAATAGCTGAACTTACATTAAATTAAAATTGGGTATTTATTAGCTTCCAAATGATTAAAATATCATTCATTTTTCAAGTTGAATCACACCGTATATAACAAAAAAATGTACAAGACGAGAAAAAAAAAAGAAGAAATAATAAGTCTAATTTATGATTGTTTGATAGATTTCAAGTCAATTAGATAGATCAACTATATGCATAGAAAATTAGAAATTCATATAAAATAAATAAATTATAGGTATTATAACTTTTGAATAAATTATCAAAATTCCAAATTTATACGTACTTATTTCCAAATTTTTGGTGTAATTTGATGATTATTTGTTCTTCTTCTGGGGTGTAGTTGCCGTGTTTTAGATTTGGTCTCAAGTAGTTCAACCAACGAAGTCTACAACTTTTTCCACACCTTGCTAAACCTGAAACAAAACCACCCAGAAGATTCATTAACATGAAATCACTAGTTAACTGAGGTTCAAGACCTATCAATCACAGATATTTAATTTATTGATATCAATCATAAAAGTGGAACTGAAAATAATTAACTAGTACTACATCATCACCATTATCGTATAATTGGTATTAATTTTTATTGAATTAAACTTTTGGCACGACGCAGTGTTAGACATTTAACATTTATTAAGAGATAAATTGGATATGTTTCAACCTTTACAAATAATACCTGCAAACTTGGGGAGTTGACGCCAATTAGAATGACCATATCTGTGAACATAAGCTCTTAACATCTCGTCTTCTTCTCTACTCCATGCACCTTTCTTCAGTCCATTTTTGTCATAGAATGGAGCTCTTACCATCTCTTAAAGATTTTCCTTTTGGTTAATCCAAATATGAGAAAACTAAGAAGCACCCAGTTTCCTTCATTAATCAGCTTTTTGTACTGTTTATTGGGAATTTTATATTATATCAAACGCGCGCTTGTCATCTACCGATGATAGTTCCGTCAATTAATCAACCCTAAATAAATAAAGAAAAAAGATTGATGGACCGAAAACCGATCTAGGTCTTCCCATATACTAGTTGTTTACGATCAATTATAAAAAGGGCTTAATTGCTGTTCTATTTTCTGATGTCATTGAAAAATTATTTATAATGTTGAAATAAATGCAGCAAGGGGTTGATTTTATAGTTGGATAATCTCGCGAAATGCAAGTTAGAACTCAGGTGATAATTAATTTTGCAATTTCAGAGTATTAGATTAAATGGATCTTAAATTAGTTGAAATACGTGTGTATATATATATATTGTATAAACTTACTCAAGTATCATTAATTTGACTGTAATTAAAAAAATAAAAATAAAAAGACCGAGAGAATGGGAGAGAAAGTTGATTACATGTAGATTTTATTAATGGAATTTTGTTGATGAGTTGGCAAATGACAATACAAATTAAGTTATAACCTGAGTCTGCTGGTTCACATGGGAATGGATTCTCTCAGTTTAAACGTACACATTGAATTTATCACTTACTTGGTCTTAGAATTAATTAAATTACCACCTGTCTTGAATAATTAAATATCAACCTTTCACCCACAATTGTAATCTAACTTGTTCTACAAATTAATCAAATATAATAATTTTTCCTTGGCCATCCTTGCCATCAATCGTAAAGTTTACATATACACAGTAGAAAATTTTCAAAAGACTTCTCGTTTGCATTAAAGACGGGAAGGATAAATTAATGTTGAAAATGGGTCACGAAGTTTTCCTGATTTAAGGAACAAGCCAATACACAGCACAGAAATAAAAATAGGTACAATAACAATGTATATAAGGATATCACAGAACTGCTCGCACTATTCAATATTAATAGGCTTTAGGAGTATACTTAAAAAATAAACCAAACACTTTTTCTTATATTCCAAATTGCTTTTAGTATCAATTTATTAGGGTATAAACAAAGTTTTACATCATTGAATCATAAAAAGAAACAAAACTATGATGCCATATACCCAAAATAAATAATATCATATCAATATAAAAATATGTGTGGAAGACCCAACCTAACACACCTTATGTTTTAGATCACAAGTTTCACACAGAAAGATTTGAAATAATTTGTCTCCATATCTTTGGATAGATCAAATATTAGATGCAAAAGTCAAAGTTAATAGTAAATAGGTATATATGAGCTATTTTTTTTCTTGAATATAATTATATGTATGTAAAAAGGAGCAACTTAACATTGATATGAAATCCTTTAAGAGATGAAAAAAATAAAATTATAAAAATTTATATTTGAAGTAAATAATATCATATTAATTAATATGAACACATCTATGTGAGAAAATCTATGTGAAAATCTATGTGAGAAAATCTTCTGTGCCCAACACACCTTATGCTTTAGGTCATGAGTTCCACAAAGAAAGATTTAAAATAATTTGTGTCCATATCTTTAAGGATCAATTAGACGCAAAAGTCAAAGTTAATAGCAAATAGGTATAAACGAACTATTGTTTTTTCTTGAATAAAATTATGCGAGTGTAAAAAGGAGGAACTTAACAGATGCCTGGATGTGATACATCACTATTGGCTTGAATGAACCCTGGGATCGTGGCTCGCTTGCTGGACTTTTAGCTTTCAAAATTAGAGCGGCCCAAATTATCGTAATACATCATACGATTTTTCTACACGTAATACGTTATGGTCAAAAGATTTACTGTTATCATAAAAATGTAAAAATTAATCCCAATTTTTTCTTTGTTTTAAAATTTTCATGTATCCCAAACAAAAAGGATTTATAGAATTCTCATCAAACATTTCTTATTCTCACGTGTTCATAAATCCATTGAATTTAATAAAAATAACGATTCAGAAAATAAAAATTGAAAAAAAAATTAATTATATTAATTCGAATCTAAAATTTGATTTGAACTTCGAACGAATCTAATCCAAATTTACACATATGTATTTACTTTTATTTATAAGTTCATGATATCATTTATTTTTATATTATTTTTTTTATATGTTTGTAAAATTATCATGAAACTTAAACTTATTTATAAAAAACTATTTAATGAAATATAAAACTTTAAAATTATTTGATTAAAGGCACATAAATATAATCATCAAGTTGTGTAAACTTAATTTTTATAGTATACATTTGAAGACAAATACCACTTATAAATGAGATATTTGATATTTTCTTTGAAGAAAAATAAAATAAGACAAATCAAAACCTGGTCTCATCCAAATCACTTTATTTATGTAGATACTACAATGACACTAATTAGGGATGGAAAAATGAGTTACTTAGACTTGTATAGATCCACTTCATCGTCAATCCGTCAAAAACCGGTCAGACTAGACTTGTCCACCAAGTAAATTGGACATCTTAACTCTCTTTGCCAAAAAAAAAAAAATAATAATAATAATTTTACATATTTATTTTGAATACCTCTATTAACATACTTCTTTTTTAATATCTAAAAGATCTACATAAATTAGTGTATATAAATAATAAAATAAATATCAAATTACAACAAATCTGATTTGATTTACTACATAACAAACATCAAATTTGCTACATAATAAAATAGATATGTAATTATAATAATAAAATTAACTCTTTCAACAAATTTGTTATAATTTTTTTAAAAAATTACATATAATAAAATAAATTAAATATATAATATATTTATTAAATAACAAATCATAAATTACTCACATAATAAATTTTATATAACTTGATTAAATTTAATATTAAAAATAAAAATAGGCCGGTGGATCTACTATTTGATGGGAGGAAGTAATGGACTAGGTGTAGCGAGTTAGAAGATCTGTTAGGTTAAAATACCCGATCCAATTGACCGGGCCGAAGCCCGATTTGTAGCGTTTTCTAAAAGTACTATGCCCACTGCAGTATCCACTTGAGCAAGATATACACATGTACAAATAGCTAACTGTAATAATATTTTCATCTTAATTTAATTTTTGAAAAATGGTTCAAAACTATGGCACTAATTAGAAATGACAATGATAAGATTGGGATTAGATTATTAAAAGAGTTAATCATCTATACACATAATTTGAAATTTTTTACACTGACAATCAATTATATCTTTTAAAATTATTTATTTTATTATTATTCTATTAAATAAGCAACTAACATAATATTATTAAAATATATAATTATTTGTTAATACAAAAAAATTTCACTAAAAATATATAATGTGTACTGACTGTACTTCGCACACGGGCTCCGAGCTCGGATTAGCGATACAAAGCAACCCCGGGCACACGCTGAGTGACGTCAGCCCGGTATTTAGGGCCCGGTATTTGGGTAGATCATTCCCGAACCCGGGGATCTCGTCCCATATCAGAACTGCCCTCCAATTATATCATATATCGTCTTTTCTTGTCATTCTCCACAATTGCATTCATTCTCACTTTATCATCGCGAATCAAATGCATTTGTTTCTCTAAAATAAAAAATAATAATAATAAAAACAACAAAAAAAACATTTTTTTTTTCATTTCAAATTCTTCATTCCAACATTTTTCTTTTATACATGCATTCATAGTAAAATAAAGGTCTAATTGATTGTTCATTCATGTCATTAAAAAAGATATATAATTTGATTATTTTCTTTTAAAGAAGATGCCAAGCAACAAATTTATGCAATGTCTCAAAAGAAAAAGAAAAAAAAAACAAGAAACAAAGAAAAGTGAGGAATAAAGTGAAATTATTGTTCTCACTTACATTTAATTCTCAATCAAGAAGATGAGCTCTTTGACAAATTAACTTGTCAATTGACATGGTTTTAAAACCATTGTTAACCTTTTGAAGTACTTATTTCATTAACTTGCATAACAAGTTGTGTTGTTATCTTCATTGTCATAAATTGTCTTTGTCCCATTACATCTCATAGTTTCCTCATTATTCTTCCAAAAATAAAGAGTTTTTCCTCATAAAAAGTCAAATCTGTTGGATGATTCTCAATTAGAAAGTTTGGTAATAGAAATTTGAAGATTTCTTATCGGGGCAAATTTATCATTTTTATGAGTATTTGTCCCACCAACTACCACATTTAATGGACATTCAATGGAGACAAGTCTTATGAGCAAAAAAAAAAGTGAAAAAAATGTAAAGTCCGTTAGACTGAAAACCCAAAAGAGCAGTCTAAGCAAAAGTTAGGGCAAAAAAAAAAGAGAAGTAACATGGAGTCGATTAAGTTTTGTCTTAGGATTAACCTTTCAAAAATAAGCAATCGAGATTTGAAATGATGTATGATCATGTTTCTCTGTCTCCAAATATATATATCACTTGCCACCCAAATTTGAGCCTAAAAGTGAAAATTTTCTTCAATTACCTCAAACAAGGCTCACCCTCAAAACAGAGGCAACACAGTATTCATATTTAATTCAGCTTGTTCATGATACCATCTAAACAATGAGAAAGGAAAAGAAGAGAAATGAACCAAATGGGAATCGTTTCATCCTCGTAGCTATTATTGACTACTTCACTAAATGGGTCGAAGCAGCTTCTTATGCCAGCGTGACAAGAAATGTGGTAGTCAGATTCATCAAAAGAGATCTAATTTGTCGATATGGTCTACCGAGCCACATCATTATTGACAATGGAACCAACCTGGACAAGATGATGAAAGAGTTGTGTGATAATTTCAAAATTTAACACCATAATTCTTCACCATATCGCCCTAAGATGAATGAGGCAATAGAAGCGGCAAATAAGAATATAAAGAAGATTATTTAGAAGATGGTGGTCACCTATAAGGATTGACACAAAATGCTTTTCTTCGCTCTACATGGATATCACATTTTTGTTCGCACCTCT